CTTCGTGGGGCTTCCTTGCACTCCCGCCGGCCTTGCAGGTCCACCGCCGGGCCCAGTGGAGCTGCAAGGCCGGCGGTGGCGGCCGGGACCGTTGGGGGCGGGGTGTGTAACCTTATGACACATTTCCGGTGATGTCAGGGGGTGTGGCCTTATGACACACTTCCGGTGATGTCAGGGGGTGTGGCATATGCTAATGAGTTATGCTAATGAGTTCCCCTAGCCCTTTTTCTACGAAATGACCCCTGTCCTGACCTTTGGCGCTGGCACCAGCAGCACCCCATCGAAGGCTGGTAGTGGGATCCTTAACCCAAGTCTGCGCCAACTCAGGTACAGGACCTCCGTCTTCGCCAGATTCAATTTCAGTTGACTCAGTCTAAGCCGTCCAGCCACGTCCTGTAACGCCCGGTCCAGGTCTTCTGGGGTAGAGTTGGACTAACCGCCCAACAACAGATACAGCTGGGTGTCATCCGCATATTGGTGACACCCTAGCCAGTGCCTCCGGACTGCAGATGGACTCACAAGCTGATGGTAAAATTGCAAATGCAAGGAAGTAGCCATTCTCATACATACGCTGAAGCTTATGCCAGTTATTTCATTTGGTATCCCCAAGTTCTAGTATGGGAGAGGGACAAAAAGATATATCTCCACTTTATCTTCCGCATGCATACCTTCGGGGTAGGGCGGGATATAAATTCAAAGATAAAAATAAATAAATAAATATAACCACCTGTCTTGTCCTCCCTTAGCCATCTTTTTTCTCAATTAAAAAGTCCCAGATTCTCCACCCTTTCCTTATAGGAAAGGTGCTCCAACTGCTTAATCATCTTGGTTGCCCTCTTCAGTACTAGTAAATGTACAATGTGTAGTATAATTGTTCAAAAGTCCATGCCAACCTTTGAATTGGCAGTTTATTGTCTGATTAGATATAGAATATATTGCGCAAGTCTTGTCTTTCCCAGTCATATAGTTTCTGGGGAGAATGTTAGTTTGCAATGAGGCTGGGCAGCTGTCCTGCAGCAGCAGCAGCAGCAGCTTCTGGAATTAGCCAGCCAAGTAAGAGCAGAACCACCAAAATGTGCTACTCCTAACACAACCAGCCTCTTCAGGATACCATGGCTGGTTGTATCGAAAGCTGCAAAGAGGTCCCAGAGAATCAAGAGGGACACACACATCCCTTGTCATTTCCAGCAAAGATAATCAGTGATAACAATTACTGTTTTTTAAAAAAGAGCCTGAAAAAGCTCTCTGATCTGGGTGTTTGTTGGAGAGGGGGGAGAGGGGGAAGAGGGCTGAGGCAAGAAAAGTGTGAAAAACTGTCATGTGCAACTTATGTGCTGTTGCATTTGCAGGGGCAGTGAGAGGATGGTTGTTTCCTGGAGCCAGCACTTGGCCAGTGTGACTTGGTGAGATGACAGCTGGCCACTGGGGGAGGAACCCTAATTTCTTTCTGTTTTGCAGTCATTTTCTATTGCTTTGAATTATTGAATGCTGGCCCCACTGGAGATAGTTTGGTCTTTATAATGTACTGTATAATGTAACCTCATGCATGCGCGCACGTGTGTGTGTACATATATATATGTATATATATCTTTGAGTGTATATATGTGTAAGTTTTATTTAGCTGCCTCAGTGTCCCACGTGAGGGCAA